TTTTTGTGGATTGTTTGTGCTGTTTTTGATTATAATAATAAAAACTTTGTTTGTATGGTTTGATGGGGAAACCCCGCCCATGCGGGTATGGGCGGGGGTTTTATTCGTCAGGAAACAGCTGACACTTTTAAAAGTTTTGCATACACTAGTTTCCAAACCCCAGTTTAGGGGGCCTGTACAAAACACACAAGCCACAAAACACAAAACACACACAAAAACACACACACACATACATACAACATACAAAATAAAAAAACACACACACACACACACATACACACACACACATACACACACAAAACAAAACACATACCCCACATAACAAAAAACAAACCCCACACACATAACCCACACACACTACACAAAAAAGAATTTTGAAATCTGATTACAAAAAGAAAAAAAAACATCTAATCAAAAATAAATAAAAGAAAGTCAATACCGTGACGGAACTGTGCACAAAAAAAAACCTGCCCGAAAAAACAGTGGGAACTGAGGGCCAATATCGGTCAACTGGAAAATTTTTACATAATTTCCCCAAATAAAGAACAATAAATTTAATTTAAAAAATAAAATTTTTAAAAAAATATGATTTCGATTTGACCCTTTTTGAAAATTTCGGGGAGAGAGAGGGGGGGGGGGGGAAAAAAGCTGCTGAGTGACCCCCAGGGAAACTCCATTTTTGAATTTTTTAAACAAGTTTTGCGATAAACGTGGGGTTAAAGTAATAGGCATTTCCCGAGGACCAAATTAGGGGGATTTTTTTTGGGCCCAAATTTGGGAAAACGGACCCGTGTTAATGCCCCTGCTGAAGAAAATTTGGGGCAGGGAAATTTTTCGGGGCCGGGCCCAAAAATTGCGTGTAGAAAACGGGAAATAAAGGGCTTAATGAATCCTTTCCCAAAAAACAAACCTAGCTAAGTTTAGCTTTTCTCTAATGTACAGTTTTTTGCAAATTTAAATTAACGTAAAACCCAGCTGTTAGGGTAATAGTTTGGGGGGGTTTCCAACAAAATTAAGTTTTCCTTTTTTATTAAATAAGTTGTAAGTATTTTAAAACAGCAAACAATCAAGTTTTTTTCCCCTATATAGATTACAAGTGGGGTTTACAGGGTTTTTTTTTTTTGGGTATTTGTGGTTTACATTTATAAAATAAATAAATACAGAGGGGGGGGCCCCAAAACCCTTACATGGCTAGGCATTTCGGGGAGACTTTGCAATGTAAATGCTGTAAATTGACACATGGGGCCCAAAATCTTGGGGATCTTTAAAATTTAGGAAAAAATTTCGCCACACCGGGGCTTCATCAGTCCATACAAAGGAGAATCTTAAGAACGGAGAGAATGGGTAATTCAGTCCCTTTAAACCTTGAGTCGATGTGGTCCGTCCCCTCAAACTTGAAAAGAATAACGGCAAACGTGCTGAAAAAGGAGCCTTTTAAAACCCTTGGCAGGAGGGGGTGGGAAACATTTAATAAAGGGGGTGTAAAAATTGGGGTTCAAAGTTGAATTTTGGTCCTTGGGCCCAAGAATTAGGCAAGCGAAAAATTCCCCAAATATTAAATTTCCCAAAAAAGTTTCAGTTTTCTGAAAAGGTTTTAGATGAAAAGGTTTAAAAGAACCACATTTGATAAATTAGACACATTTGCAACTCTTTGGGGATTTTATTGAGGAAACGTTTCGCCCACCAATGGCTTTTTATCAGTTTTTTATCAACATTCCCCGGTTTTTCTGAAACCCTTCACCTACAAACCTTCAGACATGCCCAAATTCTTGGGGTCTTTACTTGGGGGAAATTCCCTTTGGGTTGGGGCCCAAAATTTTTGGGCACGCCCCACTTTAACATTGAACAAATGTTTTAAAAACCTATGACTGCTGCCCCCTCTCCTGCCAACGGTTTTTTTAAGCTCCTTCCAGCCGTTTTGCCGTACTCTTCAAAATTTATGGACTTTACCACATCGACCAAGGTTTAGGGACCCGGGTTACCCCATTCTCCTCCGGGGTTTAAAGATTCTCCCCTTTTTTTTGGGAACCCGATGAAGCCACGTGTGGCGAAACTTTTCCCCCAATAAAGAAACCCAAGAGTTTTTCCCTGTGCTAATTTTTTCAACAAGTCGGGGTTTTCTGAACCATTTAACTACAAATTTTAAATCTTTTGTTTTGGCAAAAATACACATTCTATATTTTATTAAAACAGGAAAAAATTATGACCCTTTTTTGGAAATTTATTTTTTTATGATTAAATTTCGTATTTCCTTATTATAACAAAATGGGGGGGAGTGTAAAGGGGAACAGTGGTTTTTTATGTAGTTTGTTTTTCGGGGTGTATCGGGAGATTTAAGTTTGTCCCAACGGTATTTTTGGGAAAGGGGATTTAATGGTCGCATTCTAGAGCTTCAGGTAGGGGGTTCCAGAATTTAGGCCCTTTTACCCTACAAAAGAATTTTTGTAAAAAAGGTTTTTAGTCGGGCACGGGGAATGTCATTTTAATGTTTTTTGTCGGTGTTTCCCTGTGGGTCCCGGCCCCCCCCCAAAAACAAGGGAAAAACATTTTTTGGTCAAGGTTTAAAATTTGGGAAATAAGGGCCCTTTGATTTTAGATTTCACATAATAAGTGTGGTGTTTTGAACAGGGGGAAAATTTTTGGGTCCCATGAAAAGTGGGGGGGGGGGGTTGCCAGGGATGGATTTTTGGGATTGTTATTGCAGCTTTTTCTTGGGGGATTATTGGCTTGATGTGTTTTTGCAGTTTATCCCAAGCCAAATAGCATAGGTGAGGTTTTGGACCCAAAAGATTAATGGCATAAATGTGAAAGGGCAAACTTTTCGGCACGTAGTATCGTATCTTTGGGGAAGGATTCCCAAAACCCTTTTGGGGGTACTTTTTTTTTTTAAAGGGGTTGGATATGGGTACAGAAATTCAGGTTGTTGTCGAGGGAAAAAGGCCCCAGGAATTTGCCCTCATTAAAGTCTGGGGGAATTGAGTGGGTTGGGCCCAACTTTAAGTTAAGTTGCGCAACCCTGCTCCCGCAACCCAAAAATTAAAGTAGTAGGTTTTTTCAGTGTTAAAATGTAAGTTTTTTTGGGTGTCAAACCCCAAATCGATAAATTTTTAGCACTCCTTTTTTTAACAAAGGTTTTTGAAGGGGGGCAAGATTTTTTTGGGGAAGATGACATAAGTCGTGTCATCAGCAAAAAGAAGGGGGTTTAGGGGGCGGGGGAAACGTTTAAAGATCAAATTTATGTAAATGAGGGAAAACAGGGGACCAAGGGGGCACTTCCCCTTTCGGAAAATCCTAATCAATGCCGTGTTTATTTAGGCGTGTCTTTAAAGGTGGCATACTTTAAAAACCCATTAGTAAGGTAGGATTTTGAAATATGCAAGCGACTGGCCTCTTATAAACCCAAAAGGTTTAAGTTGTGGAGGGAGGATTCCCTTTTCCCCAAAATGTTCAAAAGCTTTTCCCTTTGGTCCCAAAAAAAATTCCAGCGGGGGAAAAAGTTTCCCTTTTCCCAAAGCGGGGTTTAAAACAGGGCTAGCATTTGTACAATTGCATCATCAGGGGTTTTATTTTTTTTCCGAATCCAAATTGGCAGGGTTGAGTAGGTTTTTTTTGTGTATCCCCGCAAGCCTAAACTTATACACCTACACAACTTCAATTTTCCAAGTAGCTGGATTTTTAAAATTAAAAATTATTAATTTTTAAAATCAGTCTAGCTTTTTGTGAGAGTGGTTTGGGGGAAAGTCATCAAAGGGGGAAAATGTTCATTTACCTTCTTTAGAAAATCCCACCCAAATTAAAATTTCAGTTTGTAATTCAGGTACTGCCCTGTAAACCTCATGCAGGTAATTTGCTCCAATAAAAAATAAAAATAATTTTTACAGAATTTGGGCCATTTGGGGGACAAATAAAGGTCCCCAAATCGGTTTTGAAACGTCCCTCATAAGGGTTTTTCCCCCTACATGCCTGTTAGAGTAAAACTCAAAATAAATTCTGTCATAAGAAAAAAAAAAATTTAAACATAAATCCGGCGAAACCCCTCACGAAGCTCATTTTTAATTTTCAAAAATTTAACGCTAAAAAACCGGGGTTTAAAAATGCTCGGGGCAAGACCCCCCCTCCTATCCAACCCCCTCACTCATTTATTTTTTTCCAACCTGGGGTGGGTGAAAGGTTTTGGGAAAAAACCCGGGCAAGTTGAAGATTGAGACACTTATGCAGCAAAATTTGGGAAACTTTTTTCAGGAAACCCCTTTTTTTGCCACACATGGCTTTATCAGTCCAATACAAAGAGGAAGCAAAAGGGGGGAGGAGAATTAAGGGAATCAGGTTCCCCAAAACCCGGAGTCGATGTGTTTTTAGGCCCCAAACTTGTAGAATGAAAAGCTTTTGGGGGCCCTAAGACGTGGGTTTTAAAAACTGTAGTGAGGTGAAAGGGGAAGGGAGGGGGGGGAAAAAGGGGGCGGGGGCATAGTTTTGGGACCCTCCACAGGGCGAAGGGAGGGTCTTTGTTCCGGGAAAGGTTTAACAAGTGTTGAAGAATTTTTTGTAACAAGATCCCAAGATGCTGCATGTCTAAACAGTTTGATAAAAGGTTAAAAACCGACAATTTAAGATTGAACACTTATGCATCAACTGTCAGACACTGCAGCATCATGGGATCTTGTTACAAAGAATTTTTCAACCTTGTTCAACCTTGGGACGAGACCTACTTCGACTAGGGGATGGTACCACTAGACCCCGCCTCCGCCTGCTTCACCTACCTCACTACAGTATATAAGCCACGTCTACGGCCCTATGCTGTACATTCTACAAGATTGATGGACTGAACACATCGACTCCAGGTTGAGGGACTGATTACCTCAAACTCCACCTCTCCTTACGCCTTCCTCTTGTATTGGACTGATAAAGCACTGTGTGCGAAACGTTCTAATAAAGATTCCCATATGCTGCATAAGTGTCTCAATCTTCATTTATCCAACCTAAATTTGAAACTACCGAAGGTTTTAGCTTCGATAACCCTACTAGGCAGACCGTTCCATCAACTACCCTATTACCAAACCAATACTTTCCTTTATCCTTTCTAAATCTAAACTTATCTAAATTGAATCCATTATTGCGGGTTCTCTTACGGAGGAATATCCTCAAACTCTTATTTATATCCCCTTTGTTAATACTCATCTTCCACTTATACACTTCGATCATGTCTCCCTCATTCTTCGTCTTACAAGCGAATGTAATTTAAGGGACATTAGTCTTTGGAATGTAGATAAATCGTTCAGAGAACCAACTTCAATCTTTCTTCATACGGAAGATTTCTAATGCTAAGTATTAATTTAATCATTCTACGCTGAATATTTTTTAACGAATTTATATCCATCCTCCCTATCGTGTTGGTCTCCATCAGCGAGGTACTGACGGTGGTGGCGAAATTGTTGGTGCTGGTTGTGTTGGTGGGGATTTCTCTCTCTCTCCCCTCCCCCGCTGATGTATCTCTCCACCACGTACAGGTAGGTAAACTAAATATTACTCATAATTTATTTTCTCTCTCTCTCTCTCTCTCTCTCTCTCTCTCTCTCTCTCTCTCTCTCTCTCTCTCTCTCTCTCTCTCTCTCTCTCTCTCTCTCTCTCTCTCTCACGAAAGGCCTTGATCTATCATTCTACTCCCCCCGTGGTTGTTTTGCATCTTGTATCGCTTGGTTTGCTTGGTCTTCAACTTCCAACTGTGTCCCCTTGTTGCTGTGTCCCATCTCTGGAACATTCTTTGTCCACCTTGTCAATTCCTCTCAGTATTTTGTATGTCGTTATCATGTTCCCCCTATTTCTCCTGTCCCCCAGTGTCGTCAGGTTGATTTCCCTTAACCTCTCCTCGTAGGACATACCTCTTAGCTCTGGGACTAGTCTTGTTGCAAACCTTTGCACTTTCTCTAGTTTCTTTACGTGCTTGGCTAGGTGTGGGTTCCAGACTGGTGCCGCATACTTCCAATATGGGCCTAACGTACACGGTGTACAGGGTCCTGAATGATTCCTTATTAAGATGTCGGAATGTTGTTCTGAGGTTTGCTAGGCGCTCATATGCTGCAGCAGTTATTTGGTTGATGAGTGCCTCAGGAGATGTGCCTGGTGTTATACTCACCCCAAGATCTTTTTCCTTGAGTGAGGTTTGTAGTCTCTGGCCCCCTAGACTGTATTCCGTCTGCGGTCTTCTTTGCCCTTCCCCAATCTTCATGACTTTGCACTTGGTGGGGTTGAACTCCAGGAGCCAATTGCTGGACCAGGTCTGCAGCCTGTCCAGATCCCTTTGTAGTTCTGCCTGGTCTTCGATCGAACGAATTCCTCTCATCAACTTCATGTCATCTGCAAACGGGAACACTTCGGAGTTTATTCCTTCCGTCATGTCGTTCACAAATACCAGAAACAGCACTGGTCCTAGGACTGACCCCTGTGGGACCCCGCTGGTCACAGGTGCCCACTCTGACACCTCGCCACGTACCATGACTCGCTGCTGTCTTCCTGACAAGTATTCCCTGATTCATTGTAGTGCCTTCCCTGTTATCCCTGCTTGGTCCTCCAGTTTTTGCACTAATCTCTTGTGTGGAACTGTGTCAAACGCCTCCTTGCAATCCACCCACCCCTCTCTCTCTCTCTCGTGTGTGTGTGTGTGTGTGTGTGTGTGTGTGTGTGTGTGTTGGAAATAGGGCTCTAGTTGCATATTGCAAATCCCTGTACATGAGTTGACCCATGACACACCCTCTTGCCACTCATAAATAACAGGCTCACTATATTGCCTGAAAGCCATGAAAAGACGAAATAATGAAAGCCACGGGTGACTGACTCATTTTGTAATCCTCCCAGGTGCCACCAACCCCTGGGGAGACGTGTTCCACCACCATGAGTGCCACTAGGCACACCCTTGCACTCTCACCCTTGGAGGAGGAGGTGCTCACCCCCCTGGAGCCCTTCATTATGTTGAGTGGGCTGCCGGGGGCGGAGACGAGACTGATGAGAGCCTTGCTGGACGACCATCCACAAGTGAGGTGCGGGGAGAGCCTGGGAGTCATCCATAACATGGTTAGACTCTGGCGCACCTTCACCGCCCCAGCAGAAAGGCAGAGGCTCCAGCTGGCTGGTATATCTCAGATGGTGAGATCACGCTGGTGTGGATGAGGTGGTGGTAGTGTTAATATTATTATTGTTATAAAATGGTAAACCCGTGATCACTCAGCGCTAAGTTAACGTTGCCTCCTGCAGGTGGTGATGGAGGCGGCGCAATTGTTTCTACTGGATGTGTTGGCCAACAATGGCCCCTCAGCGTCCCGCCTCTGTACCAGGGACGTCCTGGCCCTCACCGGGGGTGTCTTCTTGAAGACTCTCTTCCCAAATGTCAAATTCATCTTCCTGGTCAGGGACACCAGGGCCGCCGCCACTCATCTAGTTCACAGACAGGTAAGATGGGAGAGAGAAGGATGAGAGAACAGTGCGATCCCGTATTGCATGACCCTAGTTCCTTGCACGTCAGTGCAGACTGCGGTATAAGTTTATAATATTGTGAAGTATTGGTATTGAACTGGTACTCACAAGTTATCACATAGACACTAGTATCCATATTTTTCAATAAAAATGGCCTTCCACTAAGAAACTCCAGCTATGTAGCCAAACTACAGACAAATTCTCTTATCTCAGGGGAACTAATATTGAAAAATACTCAAGCACATTCTGAATGAAGTCAGTCGGTATTTGAATGATCAAGTTATCAGGTGAAAGGTGAAGGCAATTACATGAGGTACTCAAAATTATCGCATGAATATCAGTATTTTAATTTTCCCACAATATTTTATTAAAAAAGGACAACTAGATTAGTACAAATAGGAAGCATGTCTGTGTGGCACTCAGCAGACGGAGGATCGAGCCTCCACTACGCCTCTTCCTGAATGACCCTCGTGAATGTAGTGCCTAACATGAATTTTTAAATTAAAAATTAATTATAATAAGAAAAGGCAACAGGATCAACTTTCCCAAAATTAACCTTTTCCCTCCAAGTATGATTTATCAAGTTTAAAGTTTAAGCAATAAGTATGTAGTAAGACGTGATATATCAGCCTTATAAGCCTTCTGTTCTTTTATTATGTTTACATTTGATTGATAATATAAAAATCACGAAAACGCTTGGAATTCACTTTTTTTCACAGTGGTGGTTGTGTTGCATACACACCTGCAAACCATAATTAGGTGAGTATGCACACACACACACACGTGTATATATATATATAATATATATATATATATAATATATATATAAAAATATATAAATATATATATATATAAAATATATTATATATAGTCTGCCTAATAGGCAGAACTTGCGATTTTGGCTTAAATAGCAACGCTCATCTTGCCATATGGGACAAGTGAAAATTTGTGTATGCAATAATTTCGCCAAAATCATTCTGAACCTAACGAAAAAAAAATTATTTCACTGTGTTTGTTTAGTATTAAATTATTGTAAACAAATCTAAAATATATTATGTTGGGGTTTGGCTAAAAAAATTGTTATTGTTATAATAAGGTTAGGTAAGTTTCTAAGATTCTTTTGGAGCAAAATTAAAATTTTTTTTATTAACATTAATGAAAAAATAATCTTTAAACGTATAAGAGATAATTTTTGAAAGGACTTAATTTTTAAATGAGTTTTTTTGCTAATTGACCCCTTTTGCATATTTTGCACGACAATATATATATATATATTATATATATATTATATATATATATAATATATATATATATATATATAATATATATATAATATATATTTAATATATAAATATTTTTTATCACACTGGCCGATTCCCAAACCCAAAGGGAGGGGGGCCCCCAAAAAGAAAAACTTTCACCATCAATCACTCCATCACTGTCTTGCCAGAAGGGTGCTTTACACTACAGTTTTTAAACTGCAACATTAACACCCCCTCCTTCAGAGTGCAGGCACTGTACTTCCCATCCCCCAGGACTCAAGTCCCGGCCGGCCGGTTTCCCTGAACCCTTCATAAATGTTACTTTGCTCACACTCCAACAGCACGTCAAGTATTAAAAACCATTTGTCTCCATTCACTCCTATCAAACACGCTCACGCATACCTGCTGGAAGTCCAAGCCCCTCGCACACAAAACCTTTACCCCTCTCCTCCAACCTTTCCTAGGCCCACCCCTACCCCCCGCCTTCCTTCCACTACAGACTGATACACTCTTGAATCATTCTGTTTCGCTCCATTCTCTCTACATGTCCGAACCACCTCAACAACCCTTCCTCAGCCCTCTGGACAACAGTTTTTGGTAATCCCGCACCTCCTCCTAACTTCCAAACTACGAATCTCTGCATTATATTCACACCACACATTGCCCTCAGACATGACACTCTCACTGCCTCCGCCTTCTCCTCGCTGCAACATTCATCACCCATGCTTCACCACCCATATAAGAGTGTTGGTAAAACTATACTCCATACATTCCCCTCTTTGCCTCCAAGGACAAAGTTCTTTGTCTCCACAGACTCCTAATGCACCACTCACTCTTTTCCCCTCATCAATTCTATATTCACCTCATCTTTCATCGATCCATCCGCTGACACGTCCACTCCCAAATATCTGAATACATTCACCTCCTCCATACTCTCTCCCTCCAATCTGATATCCATCTTTTATCACCTAATCTTTTTTTTTATCCTCATAACCTTACTCTTTCCTGTATTCACCTTTAATTTTCTTCTTTTGCACACCCAACCAAATTCATCCACCAATCTCTGCAACTTCTCTTCAGAATCTCCCAAGAGCACAGGTCAAACAGCAAAGAGCAGCTGTAACAACTCCCACTTTGTGTGGGATTCTTTTTCTTTTAACTCCACGCCTCTTGCCAAGACCCTCGCATTTACTTCTCTTACAACCCCATCTAAAATATATTAAACAACCCCCGGTGACATCACACATCCTTGTCTAAGGCCTACTTTACTGGAAATAATTTCCCTCTTCCTACATACTCTAACTTGAGCCTCACTAAACCTCGTAAAAACTCTTCACTGCTTTCAGTAACCTACCTCCTACACCAACACTTGCAACACTGCCACATTGCCCCCCTATCCACCCTGTCATACGCCTTTTCCAAATCCATAAATGCCACAAGACCTCTTTAGCCTATCTAAATAAATGTTCACTTATATGTTTTTAACTGTAAACACCTGGTCCACACACCCCTAAACCCTTTCCTAAAGCCTCCTTGTTCATCTTTCTATCCTATTCTCCGTCCCTTTCTCTTAATTCTTTCAGTAATAACTCTACCATACACTTTACCAGGGATACCAGCAACTTATCCCCCTATAATTTTTTCACTCTCTTTTAATCCCCTTGCCTTTATACAAAGGAACTATGCATCTCTCTGCCAATCCCAGGTACCTTACCCTCTTCTTACTTTTATTTAAATAATTGCACCAACCACTCCAATAACTATATCCCCACCTGCTTTTTAACATTTCTATCTTATCCTCATCATACCCCGGCTGCCTTACACCACCCTTCATTTTACCTACGTGCCTCACGAAACTTCCCCCACACTCACAACTGCTCTTCCTCACTCCTACATATATATTCAAAATCAAATATACAATATCTATATATAAATATATCTATAGTATATAAAATAAATATATATATATATATATATATATATATATAAAATATAATATATATATATATAATGATCGTGCCGAATATGTACACTAGTAATTAGCAAGAACACATTTAAAATTTAAGTACCTTACTGTAATTTTCTCTTGACGTTTAAAGATAATTTTTTCATTAATGTTAAAGTAAAAAAATTTAATTTGCACCAAAAGAATGCTTAGAACAACTTACCTAACCTTATTATAACCAGAAACAATTTATTTTAAGCCTAACCCAACTAAATATATTTTAAATACGTTTTACAGTAATTTAGTACTAAACAAACACAATCAAAATAATATTTTTTTTCGTTCTGTTCAGATGATTTTGACGAAATTATTGCATACTACAAATTTTCCACTGTCCTAATATGGCAAGATGACGTTGCTATTTAAGCCAAGATCCGCAAGTTCTGCCTATATAGCACGACATATATATATTTAATATATAATATATATATATCTAAATATATATATATATAAATATATATATATATATATATATATAATATAGCATACAACAGTGGAACCTCACTTTTCGAACGTATCACTTATCGAACGATTCAAAAAATTGAACCATTTTTTCGTACCAACTTTGTTCCTATTATTGAACGTGCCCCTATTTTCGGACTGGGCTGAGGCCGGGTACCCCGGACCTGTTGCGCCACCTGCTCTATCCGCATCCCCGCGCAGGCGCCTGAGCCAGTCCATGCTTTGTTGATGCTTGAGTGAACACTACCTGCGCTCGTCATTCAACATTTTTAATGATTATATCATTGTGTTCATGCTTGTGGGACTGAAATAAGCTACATGGTGCCCAAGAAACTTGCTAGTGTAACACCTTGGTAAAAGAAAGATAGTAAACACCATAGAATGTGAAGAAGGAAATATATACAGAAGTATGAGAGTGGTGTGAGACTTGCTGAGCTTGCCAGGATGTTATGGGAAAAACAAGTCGACCAACGGTTTCTATCCTGGCAAAGAAAGCACAAAACAAGGAAGCTGATTGTTTGAGAAAGGTGTTAATATGCTAACCAAAAAACAGACCACAAATAGCAGAAGAGGTTTGAGAAGTTGTTGCCTGGTGGTGGATCACAAGATAAAGAGATGGTAGTGATAGTGTTCAGAGACGAATTTGCGAAAAGGCAAGGTATTGCATGCCAATCTGGCACAGAAACTCCTGGAAACCCAGTTCAGTGACTAAATCATGTCCCATTTTAAGGAAATGATAAAGAGGCCCAGAAACAGAGTGACTGTGTACAGTTATTTTTGTAAGACACGAAGGGTCCATGACTCTCAGCTGGTCCAGTGGCATTAGAAAGACAGAGAAGTGGAAGTAACCCTACCTACCCAGAGAGGCTTTACCTACGTTCCTCATGGAGGGGATTCTCCTTCAACACAACCCCCAACTCCCTCTCTCCTCCTCACTATCTTCCAGATGCCATCACCAATCACAATAAATGTAAGTAAAAATGTTTATTTTATATTGTAATTACTTAATTGAACACAATATAATTAGTTGTATGTAAAACATGTAATTAACCTCTACAAAATGTATTTTTTGTTAATATTTGTTGGTGTTACTGGAATGGATTAATTGTATTTCCATTATTTCTGTATTGGAAAATATTGCTTCGATTTTCAGACTTTTTCGAATTAGAACTAGCTCCTGGAACGGAATAAGTTCGATATTGATGTTCCACTGTATATAAATATAAATATATTTATATATAAATATA